GGAAAAATCCTATACCGAATAGGTTAAATGCGTCCGATACTTTTATAGGATTTCTACCACAATTTTTTTTAGAGTGTGGTTTCTGCGGCCCCTTTGTATAGTTGCGTGTGTTCGGAGTGTCCTGGTGCGACCCACTCTCAGGCTCGGACTGGCCAGGGCAGACAGGCAGAAAAACCTGCCGGGGCCTTTCGGGTTTGGGACCAGTAACGTCACAAAGTTAGTCAAAGAGTCCTAGTATATATAGGACGAAAGTAGCCGTTTTCGCTGATTTTGGGCGGCCACTGCGTCCGATCTAATTGCGGTCAACGGCCTCCCTCGACGCCCTAGTATTCTTAAGACCCTACTCTTTCATCCCCTGCATCGGGAAGACGTTGACCACAACGATTTTGGCTTTGACCGCAACGATTTTCCGACTAAGTTGGTCAAAAAGTGGTCGAATTTCGGAAATTTGCTGATTTTGCTGACTTTGGATGGCCACTGTGTCCAATCTAGTTGCCGTAAAAGGCCTCCCTCGACGTCCTAGTATTCTTAAGACCCTACTCTTTCATGCCCTGTATCGGGAAGACGTTGACCACAACGATTTTGGCTTTGACCGCAACGACTTTCCGACTAAGTTGGTCAAAAAGCGGTCGAATCTCGGAAATTTGCTGATTTTGCTGACTTTGGGCGGCCACTGTGTCCAATCTAGTAGCCGTAAAAGGCTTCCCTCGACGCCCTAGTATTCTTAAGACCCCACTCTTTCATGCCCTGTATCGGGAAGGCTATTGACCGCAACTAGTTTGGGAGCGGTAGCCTCACAAAGTTGGTCATGAAGGGTAAAAACATAATGATGATCGGGGGCCTTTTGCGGTCTTATCCGCTGGGGTCTTTGGGGGGGCCAGTCCGAGCCTGCCCACTCACAGTGGGCCAGTAGACCAGGGTAGGCTGCCCAAAGCCCAGACGGGTTTTGAGCTTGCGCTAATTATGACTCGAACCGATCGTGTGACCCCACCAATGGATTCCTCAGCGAATGTGGAATCCATAGGTGGGGTTACACGTTCGATTCGAGTCCGTTTAGCGACTCGGGGGAGCTCAAAACGCGTCTAGACTTTTGTCCGTCTCCACCGGCCTTCTGGCCCAATGTTTGTTGTCCCATACACAGTCGGTGCCGCCTACCCCCTGCGGCCCGGCATTTAGCGGGCTTGGCGAGGTTACGTCGAGCGCGCTTTGCATCCCCTCGAGTTTGCCCGGCCAATTCGCCCAATGAGACCGAGAGACGAGTAAGCAAAGGACGAAAGCGAGCCGCTTTTGCCGAACGGAAACCTTTCAGTTCGTTAGTTTGGAGAGTTGTGTGCGGAGGGCGGGGCGGGGCGGGCCGTCAGGCAGCCAGATTGGGACTAGCGCCTTCTCTTTTCCATATTTTACAGACAAACTTTTCGCCGGCCTGTGTTGGTCTGGCCTGGCTAGCGTGGCGTGGCGGGGCGGGGCGTGGCGAGCCGGGGGCACGGAAGCTTCTTTACCACTGCGCTCCGGTCTGGACCCAACTCTTAAATAAATCCAGGCCAATCACAGGTCTGGCTTCGAGCGTGTACTGCGAGCGGACGGGCCGAAAGGGACGAGTGGCCGAGTTCGTCGACGAACGGACGGACGGACAGACGGACAGACAGACCGACGGGCCTAACTCTGTGATATTTCCGGTCCGAGGGCCTGGCGGCCTGGCGCGTTTGAAGGGCACGCCGACTTGTAAAGGGCCGATGTCGCCGAATGAAGTGCAACGTGGCTGGCGCCCTTTGGGAATGATTCTTTGAATGGGAAACTAATTAAAACGTGAAGCCGCTTTCCGTCCGACGGCCCGGCCAACTTCCGGCCTAATTGGTATTTAATATGCCGGAGGAACGCACCGAATTTTAGTCAATATTTGAACCAGAGATCGGCAAAGTTTTTCCCCGCGGCGGTTTCGGCGGTGAGAGGCTCCGTTCCGCTGATCACTGGAAAAGGAACTTGCCGCTCCTGTCTATTCTTTGCTTAGTTTGAAAGTTTACCAAAACGTGTAGGCTGGGATAGACTCCTCTCAGACACTCGCCGGGTGAACTTCCCCTACACTACTACTTCCCTACCTGCGTGCTGTTGAATATTTCAGGGGATTTGCAAGAAACTCCGAGTCGACGGTGGCCGTGCCGTGCCGAGAGGTGGAGAGGTCGGGTTGAAGAGAGAGAGAGAGAGAGAGAGGAAGAGACAGAGAGAGAGAGAGAGGAAGAGACAGAGAGAGAGGGGGGGGGGGCAGGGTTGCTCGATGACCCCGTCTCTGTGATTGGCGTTTGCCAGAGCGACAAGGAAGAAGGCACCGCTTCGCCCGCGGCCGATCTCAACGTCCCTAACAGTCCGATCCTCAACCAAACTATTAGTGACCCGAGGGGAAAATTTAAACTCTGACCTCACTTCACATTCGCGCGTGGAAAATGAAATCACTGACTGTGGGTCATTCATTTCCCGGCGAGTCTTTGAGTGTAGTCGGTTTGTGCTCAAGGCACTTTACTTGAGGGGAATGGGGCGGGGGAGTACTGTGTACAGCGTCGACACGGTTTTCAACTCGTGCCAAAACTCGGTGCCACGCCACTGGCGGGCCGACACCCGCCTCCCCTTCCCTCCTTCCTCGAGCCACGTGGCTCCGTGGCCACCCCATCCATTGTGTCCTTACCTAATTTATACTCATCCTTCGATTTCTATGTTGCCGGGGGATCAGCGGGGCAGCGCTAATGTTTCAGTCAGTGATCGGTGTGCCATTCCGAACGGCTTGTCTGGGAAGGGGAGGGGAGGGGACAGAGAGAGAGAGAGAGAGAGAGAGAGAGAGAGAGAGAGAGAGAGAGAGAGAGAGTAGAAGAGGTGCATAGCAACAAACGTTCAGAACTGGCCCCGGAAACGTCCAATTGAATAAGGTAGTTTGGCCAGGTACTCGAAGTGTGACTTTATAATGCACACCTGACGGACTCTCCTAATTGACACTGACTATGACGTCATCCTGTTAGCGAAGAGTCAATTACGCCGAGTCGAGAAAAAAGTGTGCGTTCCCGCACCATCAACACTTCATCAACTTCGTCCAAGTTTTATCCGGACCGGGCCTCCTCCGACTTTTGATGCGTTTGCCGTGGCGTCTCGGCCGGTTTACATTATGGACACATCCGGTGAAGGAAAAGGAGTTTTCGAACCGGACGCGACGGAACCTCCTCTTTCGGGGGCAAGTTTGTGACGGATCAAGGCTGCCTCGTCAGTCGGTCAGGAACGCGACGCCGCTTGTGTCTCATTGTTCACACCTCGTGGCGCTGGGCCCTGCCCAAGGCCCTGCCCATAAGGCCCTGCCCATAAGGCCCTGCCCATAAGGCCCTGCCCATAAGGCCCTGCCCATAAGGCCCTGCCCATAAGGCCCTGCCCATAAGGCCCTGCCCATAAGGCCCTGCCCATAAGGCCCTGCCCATAAGGCCCTGCCCATAAGGCCCTGCCAAAGGCCCTGCCGGCTCGCGAGCCTTCTCTCCAGCCACGCCCCGCCAGTCTGTAATCCATTACGCCGAATCATCACAGAAATGACTAATCTTTTGATTACCGCCCCACCTCGCCGAGCGGGCCGAGTTTGGCCGCTCCGAACTTGTCGATGGAAGCAGCGGGCATAGAGGGGAGGGAAGTCTGATTTGACCGACCCCGGCTGGGGCGAGGCTGGGCGAGCTGGGCTTGTCGCTCGCGAGCCCACTAATTCGTCTTCTTTAATTAACTCAGACCGCGTCACTCTGTCCTCAGGTTCTCCTCACGCGTGGTGATTGGGCGTGCGACCCCACCAATGGATTCCTCATTGTCGGAGAGCAATCCATCGGTGGGGTCACACGTTCGGTTCGAGTCCCGTTTAGCGACTCTAGAGCTCAACGCGTCCGGGGTTTTGACAGCCTCCACCGGTCTTCTGACCCACTGTGCGGTGTCCTTTGAGCATCTTCGGAGTTTTCCTCTGCGAGTTTTGCGTTAAAGAGTTATTATGACAGCATAAGTTTATTGAGGAGAGACACAATCGTGTCAGGCTCGATGCCAAGGGGCTGATTACAAGGCCTGGGAGGGGCCCCTTTTGGGGACACCCGGCCCGCGCGGGGCGCCCGGCCCCCCTGCCACCTGGCACGGAGCCTGACTCTTGTCTGACCACGGGCTCCGCAAATGGGCATGATATGACGACGAGGTAATGTTTCCCGGTGGCCTTCGGGGGAGGAAAACCGGATAAAATCCGGATAAAATGCTTCTTTCGCTGAGTCCATTAATCAGGCCCGGAGCATTCTTCTGGTGCGTGGTCACGGAAGCCGCGGTCCCGGACGGGGAAAGTAACCGAACCGTCACAGCGCCGCAGCCCGGCGCAGCCCTGCCCGTTGTGTTCAAAGGGATGGATATCGACTTCCCCCCGGATCGCCCTCCGCGGACCGAGCTGTCCTTTTCGAGAGTCTTCTGGGAGCCAGCAAAGAGATTGATTCTCGAGAAACTGTTTCGTATGCCGCAAGGATGACGAGTATCGGCCCGCCGCGGCCGCCGCGTCCCTGGGTGCCGCCTGATGAGGTTCATATTATGTGCGAGGCGGGCGGGGCCGGCGGGGCCGCCACCAAACGAGAGTATTGGGAAAGGGGGACCTGGGGTGGGACCTCCAACCCACACAGACGGCCGCGGTCGTAAAATGTTATGCGGCGGTAAGGAGGTGCTCTTGGGGCGCCCTGGGGCCCGGCCTGGGCCCGGGGCTCGGACTCGGGGGTCGAGTCCCGATCGCGCCAACATGAGCAGGCCATGACGATGGCGGCGCTGATGGCGAGGGTGGCGATGCCAGGCGATGCCAGCCACGCCCCTTCTTTAATTTTGATGGACAGGGCGGTCACCTGCTGGGAGCTGAGGGGCGCCCAACAATGCGTGTACTCTGCAAAAAAAGAGGAAAATCGTGAAAACAAAATCCGGACTCTAATGGTGTGGGAGTTCGGCGTTGTGACGAGTGTCTTCCGTGTCCGCAGATCCCTGCGCAGCCATGGCGCCGGGGCCGCAGAGCCCGCGATGCAGTTGGCGAAGTCCGTGGTCCGCGCTGACTCTGCTGCTTCTCGTCTGCACAGGTGAGTTCCAAACACACAGTGGATTTGCCAGAAGACCGGTGGAGGCGGCCAAAACTCCAGACGCGTTTTGAGCTCCAAAGTCGCTAAGTGGGCCTCGAACGGAACGTGTGACCCCACCAATGGATTGCTCTCCAAACGAGGAGTCCATTGGTGGGGTCAACACGCTCGGTTCGAGTCCTGTTTAGCGACTCTGCAGCTCGAAACGCGTCCGGAGTTTCAGCCGGCCCGCTTTGCGCCGCTGCGCGCCACTTGGCGACCCATTTAAGCTACTCGGCCGGTTCAAACTTTCCCCCCGCCACACTGTTACGGATGGCGTTCAGCCCGCCGCCAACCTGCCAGCGCCCCGCGCAACGCCGCGCCGCCCCGCCGCTGCAAAGGAACTCTATTGCCCCGCTATCGATTTGGCCGCATAAAAGGCTTATGGCGTCGGCCTCCTCGCTGGCTGCCTTTGCTGCCTTTGCCTGCAGCGTGCAAAGAGTTCCGCAACACATTCCTCTTGCGGACTGTATCTTTACCTCGGCTATATATACCCGCCAGCCAGCCAGCCAGCCAGCCGGGCCCCACCGCAACGCTTTGACAGGCTGTCGCAATATTCGAATTATTTTTCCTGGCGCATCAGTCGCTCCTTTACCGCCAGGAATTCACAAGGAAGCCCCAGAGGAACCCCCAGAGGGGCACCAAAGGGCCCCCGAGGGGGCACCCAGTGGGGTTGACCCGCATCGGTCGGAAAGGAATCCTGGCACTTTTTCCTGTCGAGCTGCCAAGGTGGAGGCGGTCAAAATCCCGGACGTGTTTCGAGCTCCAGCGTCTCTAAATGGGACTCGAAACCAACGTGTGCCCCCACCAATGATTCCTCGTTCGGAGAGCAATCCATTGGTGTGGTCACACTTTCGGTTAGCGACTCGAGCTAAAACGCGTTCGGGATTTTGACCGCTTTCACCGGTCATTGGTGGGGATGTATTGAATGCATAGCACAAGTGAGATTTTAGAACGCAACGCCAGCTCCACTGCGTAATGTGCGGTCATCTCAGTTCGTGTGGGAGCAACGGCGCACTCGGTAGAGCTTCCGCCTGCGGTTCTTGTTGACACGGGTTCAACTCCCATCGGCGCCACGACTTTTATAATTTTTTTTTCGAGCCTGCGATTTGCTTGTCAGTTTGCTCTGGGCTCATCTCTGCGCACTCGGAGCCGTGCACCCCACTGGTAAATCAGAGCTTGGTGGAGCACTGGCACACAGCGCGGCCAGAAAAAGGGGGGGGGGGCGGAGGAGGAGGTGTATGGAAAGGAAGGGGAGTAAATGGAGGGCCATAAATTGTGCCTCATTTTTACAGCGGAGGAATATGATTTGGTGCCCACGGTGCTATTGCGATGTTGGGTCTCCGCCGGGCCTCCTGCTGGGGGTGCGAGAGAGACGGGCGGAGGAGAGGGACACGCGGGGATGGAAAGAAGAGAGACGGAGAGACGGCCACTTGTTGCAGACGACGCTACGAACGGTCCTCGGGTCGAGAGGGTCGCCCGGTGGCGGCGGTGGGGGCGGAGGCATATTGTACGATATCTCGTGAATTAATCGATTTCACTCTCGGCGTGATTATTACAATAATGGGTCCGTTCTTTGTGGACGGCGATTGAATTTGCTGCGGGCGTGACCCGCGTCAGCGTGTGAGTGGTCGTGCCGGGGTGGGGGTCGGGGTGGGGTCGGGGGGGGGGTCGGGGTGGGGGTCGAGGGTCGGAGGCTGTTGCGCCCCTCTCCCTCCCGGCCCCTCCCGGCGGCCCCCTGGAGATGCCCGGAGGCGAGAAGCGAAGTTCGTAATAAAATCTGCCCCGACGCTGGTCGACCGCCACGGCAGCACGGCGTGCGCGAGCCGTGCGCCGCCAGCGCCGCCAAGGGGGGGAGAGACCTAGAGACTGACGGGAAGCGCGGGCGCCGATAAGCGCACCAAAAGTTTCTCATACTCCCCGCGCGCGGCCGGAGAGCTGTCTCATAATCCAGACAAAATGGGGGCGCACGCACTTAACGGCTGGAGAAGGTTTTTTGGCCACAGCTTCCAAACCGTTGTAGATAGACGGGTATAGTAAGCGAGCCGATTGTTGGCTGAGCCCCCTATTTCTTTCACTGAAACTAAAACTTAAACTAGCGAAGCCCTTTAGTCCGGCCCCGAGACCCTCCCGAGTGAACCACGACGAAAGTGGCACCTCGCAATGTAGGGAACCTTTGAAAAGTATCGGTGGCAACAAAAAATGGTAGTGTTAAGCGTTGAAATTAACTAAGTAGGTGCCTTTGATGAATTTTTTTAATGATCAGAACCCAAATTTTTTAAAATGAACGAACAAACATTCGATTCGAGCTGGTAAAAAGTTTAGTTTCGTTCACTGTTCAAGTGAAGTTTTCAGGTTGGCAACGATAAAAGTCGGGTGCAGTTTAGTAGCGTCGTTGAATTGCAACCCCGGTGGGTTTTGTAAACTGACCACAACAACACGAAGAACACACACGGAGGCGGTAGTCGGCACTAGCGTTCACACTAGATAAAGTCAAAACTTAAAAAATGAAGTTGCAAATTACAAGTTAACATTCATATTGACAAGATTAAAAACTAATAATAAACTATGATCATTATTATAAATCCTATAAAGTTTAAATCTGTAAGTGGTCTTCTTGTGGCAGCGCTCAGTCATGAACAATAAGAATTCGCTTCCCAAGTTTTAAAGTTCCACAGTTTTATAAATTGTGTGTCTATTAACAAAAGTAATAATTTTTAACTGCTAAATTGACATTGGGAGGCACATGCTAACCATTCAACCCAGTTAAGAACCTTATCGTGCACATTTTGACTATATCTCTAAAAATCTTCTGACGCTTACTATTTTAACGTAAAAGGTTGGTCTTCACATTTTTACCTCTACGATTCATTTTGAAAAGATTGAGGAAACCACAACTCTTTGTGTCCATGCTGTTGCCTTCAACAAAGCTTTTCAAGCTGTGATGTATATAAAACTTGAATATATTATAGATTTTTGTTAAATTTTAGTTAAATATCTCCCATGGGATCTCAACCTCTATTTCAATCTTCAGTTCAAGCTACTGCTGATTGCGCTTTATGTGGGGTGAAAGGCGGTCTTTGAGTCATGGAGTTTTCGGTGCATGAGGGATGTTACGATGTGAAGCCAAAGAACTGTATTTCAAAATTTTCCATGGGGACTTAAACTCCATCTCAAACTTTGGCCTGCTTACATGGGGCGGTGAGAAAAATAAGTTGTAACAAATGACCTCTTTGGTGAATACAAACAAAAAATTATAAAACCCCGTCCTAAACTAGGAAAACAAAGTGGAAATACTGTTAATCCCACATTCAAACTTAGAAAAATTAATAAGTATAATCAAAGTACAGAAAACAAATTATTTTATCTTTATGAAATGTCAACTTGCAAGTGGGAACTTAGGCTCAGCCTTAAGTTTAGACTTTACCTAGTAGGTCTCTGTACAAGCTACAATCAGCTCGCTTACTGTACCACTCTAACTTGAACGGTTTTCGAGCTGTGGCCGAAAAACTGTTCGGTCTGTCTGCTGCGCTCCGCCTGGCCCCACCTTACCGCACCGCTCTCCGCTCCGCTCCCTGTCCCCTCCCCGCTCCCCTCTGGGCCGGCCCAGACAAAATGGCCGCCAGCGCGCGACGGCGCCCGCGCTTCTCCGTCAGTCTCTAGGTCTCTACCCGTGTCTTGCCGCACGGTGGGCCGGAAGAGCGGCGGCGGCCGAACTTCTAGACGCGTTTTGGGCTCCAGAGGCGCTAAACAGGACTCGAACCGAACGTGTGACCCCACCAATGGATTCCTCGTTCGGAGAGCAATCCATTGGTGGGGTCACACGTTCGGTTCTAGTCCCATTTAGCGACTCTGGAGCCCAAAACGCTTCCGGGATTTCGGTCCGTCTCCACCAGTCTTCTGGCCCACTGCGCGCCGGGGCGACTGCATTTCCATCCAGCCCGGGGACTTCCCCGCGGATGCCCTTCCAATTTGGCGAAAACACGAAATACATTACCCCTTTTCTGGGAGCGCTCGGCCTTCGGCTTTCGGCGTTCGGCTTTGTGCGTGGCTATCGGGCCGAGCCATCGCGTTGCGTCGCGCCGCGTCGCGCTGCGTGCAGTGCAGGTGTCATTAATTCCATTATTAACTGCAACTGATTTCGCTGCGCTTGCGTACGTGACGCGATACCGCGCCGCCCATTGCCGATATTGACTTGGCTTCCAATCCGAACCCCCTCCCCCCTCCCCTCCCCCTTACAGTGCCGCCCCTCGGCGGCTTACTACTTCCTTACCCAGTCTCTGAGCGCCTGCTCGCCGGAGAGGAGCAGAGCCAACATGGATCGAAGAAGAGACGGAGATCGGAAAGCGGATACTTTTCGCGCGTTGAGTGCATTCAAAATGGAAGTAATCATGTCGGTAATGGAAAACTATTTTTTCCCCATTTTTGGCAGAGGTGTTTCCTAAGATTTTCCCTGTATTTTTATCGTTATTTCTCCCAAGTTTGCGAGACGATCGGCGCAAAGGGTCCTCCTCCTTCTCCTCTTTTGGGTCCATGCAGCCTTTTTTCTTTTTGCAAAAAGTGGCGGAGGCAAATACTAAAAGGAGAGACGCCGTTCGCCGGCTGGCACGTCCAGCTTGATGAAAACTTGTCTTGTCGTGTGTGTGTGTGTGTGTGTGTGTGTGTGTGTGTGTGTGTGTGTGTGCGCGCGCGCGCGCGCGCGCGTATGCGTATGCACTGTGTCGTGTTTACGCGAGAGAATGGTGGGTGAATTTGGCGTATAACGGCCGGCGTTGCACTTTACGTCGATGACTGCTGTTTCCCTGGTGGCTCGTCTGCCTCTGTGTGGTGTGTGTGTGTGTGTGTGTGTGAGAGAGAGAGAGAGAGAGAGAGAGAGAGAGAGAGAGAGAGAGAGAGAGAGAGAGAGAGAGTACGCATGAATGCAACCTGTTTATTGGGGGTCGCGTGCAATAAAATGGGGCCGT